TAATGTCACTGAATCCATTATTTCCCATTTTCTTTCCTTTTTTCTTTAATTAAAGAGGATAAAGAAATTACCTTCCAGAAGAGTTTTAGCAACACATGTTTTTCCTCATATGCTACCAACATCTATTTTCAAGAATAATGTCAAGGTGAGTGTTCATTTTAAATTGTAGGGTCACCATTACAGGTATTTGTGTGAAACAAAATGTTTAACAAATGTGGCTACTCTTTGCTTGCTAGTTATTTATGAACAGGCTCAACTGAATTTACTTTTTACAATTTTTTTGTTATTTGAAATATTTAGTAAATGCTTTCCACCTCTGAATAATTAAACTATCTGTTAAAATGTAGGAAAATGTTTTTCTCCCCTAGATATTGGTGCTGATTCGAAATCCAGAGGATATATTATGTTTACAATTTATGAAGAACTGAAAGAGGTGAGATTAATGTTATGTAAGGAGTGCTGTATCTATCTCTTGTGTTTCAAGTAGTGTTTGTTACTAAAAGATTCAGACATTATCAGTCTTATCTGGATTAACTTTAAGGTGCCAAAGAAATGTACCAGTGAACAAAACAACTTTAGAATATCTCAGACTTAGATGGAGAATGTTCAAAGGCACAAGCACTTTGACTGTCAAACTGTTTTTTCTGCCTTTGAAAATCTCCCCTTGGATCTAGTAATTCCCCAAGAACTTTTTATAGACTTGGTCTGTATTTTCAAATCTAAATATGCATTTAACAGGCTCAAGTGTTACATTTAAAATATATGCTCTAGTTCAGCCATGAGTTATTCGGCAAGAAATTACTGGGGAAAATTCCATGGCCTGTGCTTATGAAGGGAGTCAGACTATGTGATCACAATGGTCACCTTCTGGGCTTAAAATCGCTGAACAGTGAGTGTACAGAAAATAATTATTATTGGGAGTACAGCAGTTCTGAGGGCTTTTTTTTCCCCACTACAAGAACCCTGTTTCAGTAACTTTGACACTAACTGGCAAAACTCAGAATATGATCTATCTACAATTTAAGACCTTGATCCCACAAATACTCAGATGTGCGAGTTACTTTATAGACGTGGGAAGTCCTGGCTTAGAACACCTTGCTCATAAAGTGACTTGTGCGGTGAGGCTCCCCTTATGGGGAGTTAACTCCCAACTCCCACTCATTGCAGTGGTGTGGAGGCTTCTTCTATAGCCCTTGGGGGGAGGGCAGGATTCACCCAGAAACCACTCCAACACCAGTATAAGTAACAAAACACTTTCATCAAAGAGCCCCAATGCTTGTCAGCATCAGTTCTTCAGTCACTGCTCTGGGTGTTGTGTTAGGCTCTGGCTGGTGGTACAACACGGGGAAAGCTCACAAGTAGCCACACAGCCACACTGCTGCTGAGACCTGTCCTACAGCCTGGAGCTTAAGCTTTGGCTACATCTAGACTACAAAGAAAAGTTGGAAAAAGATATGCAAATTACGAACCGCAATTTGTGTATCTTTTCCCGCTTTTCTTTCAAAAGAGGCTTTTCTGAAAGTTGGCACGTCTACACGGCACCACATTTTGGAAAAACCTGCTCTTTCGAGCTATTCCTTCTTCCTCGTAAAACGAGGCTTACAGGGATGGTGAAGGAATGCATCTGCTTTTTCAGAAATGTTTCTGAAAAAAGCGGATGCATCCCTTAGATGCAGCATTGCTTTTCCAGGATACCTTCAGTATCCACATATTCACTCTGCTGACACCATTATTGGGCCTAACCAAGTGAGTTATAAGATCAAGAACACATATTCCTGCGCCTCCAGAAATATAATCTATGCTATCATGTGCCGAAAGTGTCCGTCTGCTATGTACATTGGACAAACGTCTCAGACACTTCGCCAAAGAATCAATGCCCACAAAACAGACATTAGACAGGATCACAAAGAAAAAACAGTTGCTTGCCATTTCAACCAGAAAGGACACTGTCTCAATGACCTACTCACCTGCATCCTACTTCAGAAGACATTCAAATCTGCACTTGAAAGAGAATCCTCTGAACTGGCATTCATGCTAAAATTCGACACTCTCCGCGGGGGCATGAACAAAGACTCCAGCTATCTTACCCATTACAAAGATAGCTTCCCTAATTATCACCTCTAACACTATTAACTCACAGACATCTACCATTCCCCACCTCTAATATCATTAACTCACAGGCATTCACCTTCCTTTCCCGCCCCCCTGCATCCCCCTTCTGTTCTGAAATGTGATTTGTCCTTTTCATATGTGTTCACTTTTTTAAATTGTATCCTTTGGTATATATGGCTGTGACTATTTTCTTCCACTATTTGATCTGAGGAAGTGGGTCTGGCCCACGAAAGCTCATCATCTAATAAACCATCTTGTTAGTCTTTAAAGTGCTACATAGTCCTGTATTTTGTTCCAGAAAAGCACTGCAGTCTAGATGTAGCCTTTGATTATACTGGCAGTTGAGCGGCATAGCTTTTGTCATCCACAGATGCTTACACCTCTCTCATCCAAAGATAAAAACTTTGCCACCACAAGAACTAGGTTAACATTTTTTTGTGGGTCCCAGTGCTCTCCTGCTGACAAAGCTAATGCTGCTTATGGGGGGGTGTAGATTTTTTGTCAGCAAAAGTGTTGACTATCTCTACTTACACTGTCTGACTTTTAGCAACAGAGCCTTTTGCTAAAAGCTGTGTAGGGTACACAAAGCCTTGTTCTTCCGCCTGCTGTATACTCAGGAGCCCTTTCTCCCATATGAGTAGAACTGTCATCAGGAATTGAGGGTTGGATTTCCTTCCAAATATCGAGAGCTCTGTGAGGGTGGAGAGGCCAGCTTCTCCTGTTTGCTTATTTGCCCACACATTAGGGCTCTGGGGACGAGGCCCAGGTTCCCTGTAAGCTGTGAACCTGCATGGGCATGCAGAGGTTCAGAGGACCCCAAGCATTCAGGGAGTTCAGCTGATCGGCTGGAATGGGGGGAGGGGCACTCACCCTCTCAGAGGAGCAGAAGCAGCAGCAACTGCTGCTACTGCCACCTGCTATAAATGGAGACGCTAGCTCCAGCCTCTACTCCAGGTCTGGGCAAAAGATGATCTGTGGGATGAATCCCACCCTGCCCCACACCTGTTTGGCATTCAGGAAAGCTGGGTGCAGGGCTACGTGTGTGTTTGTGAACACTGAGAGCCTGGAGGGAGGGGGCGAGAGGCTTCTCATGCTACCCCTGATCCCAGGAGCTCCCATTGGCCGGTTTCAAACAATTGCAGCTGCCTGTTTGCAGGACAGGCAGCATGTGAAGTGCCCCTCCCCCCCATATGCCCCAGGATCACACCATTCAGTTCAGAACAATAAACATGGTTCCTGCACCTCTCCAGAGCCTGCTCAGGGGCTGGAAGGAAGAGACCCTGGCTAAGGAACCTGCTAGGCTGCTGGTTGGGAGCCAGATAAGATCTCCCAGCCAGAGTCTCTCTCTGGCACCTCAGCTCCTCCCTCCCCCAGCCCCTACCTCATGTAACCCAATCCTTCTGTACCCCTGTTCCAGCCCCCATACATCTTCCCTGACACTGCATCCCCTCCTATACTCCTCCTCAGGTCACAACCCCCTCTCAGACCTTGCACACCAATCTGCTATCCCTGGTCAAAGCCAAAATCCCTACACCCCCTCTGGCACTCCTACCCCAGGTCACAACTCCTTCCAGGCCCTGCACTCTCTTCTTACTCCAGTCCGTTGCCCCAGGTCACAATCCACTACTTCACCCAAACACCCTCCCATATCCACTATAGCTGTTGGCCCCACTGACTTCAGGGTAGATAGTTACTTCAGCAACAGGAGGTGTTTCCCCATTGCTGTAAGTTAATTCACCTCCCTGACAGGTAGTCGCTATGTTGACAGAGGAATGCTTCTGTCAATCTAGCACTGTCTACACTGGAGCTTCGGTCAGTTTAACTACATGATTTGGTTGTGAATTTTTTTTTTTTTTTACACACCTGAATGTTGTAGCTGGGTTGAATTAACATTCTAGTGTAAACCAGCCCTAAGGCTTTACATGTTTCTAACAAACAAGGGCTAAAACTTTAAGTGATAAAGACAGTCCTTAGCATCTGTAAGTATCAGAGACATATAGCGTTTGATATTCACAATACTGTTGTCCATTTATAGACACGTATTAAAAGCAGCATGTGCACAGCAAATGAACTGTTAGAAAGTCACGTAAGTGCATGTAAGGTACACTGAAATCATCACAGGTTTATCTCTTTTCAAAAATGTTTGTTTCCTTGCTTTTTGCCCCCCTTTCCCATGGGTTTAAACACTAACACCTGTATTGTAGCCAGGCTACAGAAAAAGAAATAGGCATCTGTTAAAAAATAAAAGCACAGAAGCTAAGTATTGAACTAGCACAGCGCTCCAACTCTGCTTTTTCTCCTAGAAGTGGTGCACTGTGAGTATGTATTCCACATAGGATAGGTTCTGCCTTCCCACAACAGTGCACTGTGTGAAAAACACACTCACAGTGCACTGTTGTGGGAACAAAATGCAGGACAATGTAGCACTTTAAAGACTAACAAGATGGTTTATTAGATGATGAGCTTTCGTGGGCCAGACCCACTTCCTCAGATCAAATAGTGGAAGAAAGTAGTCACAACCATATATACCAAAGGATACAATTAAAAAAAATGAACAAATATGAAAAGGACAAATCACATTGCAGAACAGGAGGAGGATGCAGGGCGGGGGGGGAGGGAAGGAAGGAAGGTAGGTAAGTGTCTGTGAATTGATGATATTAGAGGTAGGGAGAGTGGGATGTTTGTGAGTTAATGGTATTAGAGGTGATAATTGGGGAAACTGTCTTGGTAATGGGTGAGATAGTTCAAATGTTTGTTAAGTCCTTTTTGTAAAGTGTCGAATTTTAACATGAATGACATGTTGTGGGAAGGCAGAACTGATCCTAACACATCTTGGGATTCCCCCAGAGTTCTCCCACAGCCTCCTCAACTGCTGAATGGGCATCAAGAGTAGCTCTGTGAGCTCTCGGTGCTGAGGAATGCCAAATCAGCGCAGCAGCCTGTCCCACTACCCCTTCAGCAACAGTCTGCCTGCTTCTGTATTCCTAGTGCAGGGCAAAACAGGAGCAGTCCAAATGGAGCCAAAGTATCTGACACTCAGCAGTCAGATACTTGGAGAGCTTTGATAGAGGAGAGGTGCATGCCTGCATAGCAGAAGAGATCACAAAACACTGAGCAGAGCCACAAGGACAGGCATTGTGGGATAGTGGCAGAAGCTAGTTCTGTTGACAAAACAAACAGCAGTGTCTTCACTTGATCTTTGTTGACAATAAAGGAGGGGGGGAAGGAGCATGGGGAGAGTGAGTGATGGGGGCAGCAACACTCCGCCCCCAGAATGCCCACATTAAGCATGCTAGGGTGGTCAGGGCCAGGCTGGCGGTTTGGGAAGGCAATGCCTTCCCCTGCCTAGCATATTGGCCACCCATATCCAGACTTATGAATTAGTGTGAAATCATCAGATGTAAAGCTTTATATAAAGCATTACTGTGGGTAAACAAAGCTTTCTGTCTCCAGTGTCAGTCTGGCACAATAACAATGAAAAAATGTGTTTTTGATTAACAACTTGCACTGTTTGAACTTCTTTCTCTTTTCAGAACCTGATTTTGGGAGTGAAAAAAAAATAGCTACATTCTTTGGGTTCTCCATGACTGATGAAGAGATTCAAACTGTTGCTGAGAGGAGTAGTTTCCAGACTATGAAAGAGAATGCCCACGAAACCCATGGTGCATTTGGAAATATTCTCTTCCGCAAAGGTGAATTCCCAGTACAACTGACAATTCCTTGTTGGCTGATCATTCTTAAATGTCTTTTTGCAGACACTGTATTAAAAAGTTACTGGAGTAAATGTAGGTCATTGATGCAGTATTCAAAATACTAATTTAATTTCATCTTAAGAACAGTAGAAAGATATTTCAGGTCAGCACCTCTTAGAACCATAAAATGTTAGGGTTGGAAGAGACCTCAGGAGGTCATTGAGTCCAACCCCCTGCCCAAAGTAGGACCAACCCCATCTAAATCATCCCAGCCAGGGGTTTGTAAAGCTGGGACTTAAAAACCACTGGGGATAGCGATTCTACCACCTCCCTAGGTAACCCATTCCAGTGCTTCACCACCCTCCTAGTAAAATAGTTTTTCCTAATATCCAACTGTCACGTTACCGAATTTGAGGGAAGCAGCCAGATCACTGCTACACCCATAGGTGGGGGTGTTGGCCCCAAAAATGATATAAAAGGGGGCCATGTGAGGTGTTGAATAGAAGCTTACTGTCTGCTAATCCTATGTACGCTTTTCATGTGATTATATAATGTCTGTGTGTCAAGTTATAAGCATGTACTGTGTATGGATACTGAGTATTTCTCTGCATGTGGTTGAGCATTGGGCAGAGCCTGGCCTATGGACATGCTAATTAGCGAGGCTATGTGGGACAGTAGCACTCAAAGGGCCAAGGACACACCTCGGGAATGAGGACTGACACCTAAGGGCTGCCACCAGGGAACACAGGGATAGGCCGCTGGCCAGGTGACCTGCTACAGCCAAGAAGAGACCAGGAAGGAGGTATAAATATGCCATGTAGCTGACTCCATCTTGGTACTCAGCTCAGCACTTCATCCCAGAGGCAGCAGTGCAGGGATCAAAGAGCCGGAAAGAATTGTGGACCCATCCTGACCTAGGATGCGCAACAAGGACTTTTAAGCCAGCAGCTGTAACATCTCTGCTAGAGCCTGCATCAAGAACTGGGAGATTCGATGCATATAATGTATGATACTTTAGCAACCTTACTCTCATGCTTTTAACCTTTAGATGGTAGATTCTAAAGGATTGGCTTGGCGTGATTCGTGGGTAAGATCCAGAGTGTAAATTGACCGGGGATCTGTGGCTGGTTTCTTGGAACCAGACAGAACTTGTTCGGGGTAGGTGGGATTGGGTTCTAAGCCCCCCCCCCCACCGGTGTATGAGGCCCGGGGCCATCTGGAGCACGGATATTGCTGGGGTTTCAGAGGGGTTTTGCTTGTGTGGCTTCAGGCAGACTACTGAAGCGTTCTGTGGGACTGGTTTGTGGCCTGTTTGGAAAGGTCACCAGTCTGGGGGCTGTAAAAAGCCTCAAATTTGAGCAATTCACCCTGAGCGGACGCCCTCAGCTGTGCCCAGACTCGGCCCGGTCCGTCACACCAACCTCGACCTCCCCCATTATAACTTGAGACTATTGCTCCTCATCCTGCCATGTGTCACAACTGAGAACAAATAGCCTCTCTCCATACTCTTTGGAACCCCCTTTAGGTAGTTAAAGGCTGCTATCAAATCCCTCCTCACTCTTCTCTTCTGTAGACTAAATAAGCCCAAATCCCTTATCCTCTCCTCATAAGTCATGTGCTCTAGCCCCCAATCATGTTTGTTGGTCTCCTTTGGATCCTCTCCAATGCATAGACATCTTTTCTGTAACAAGGGGCCAAGAATTGGACGCAATACTCCAGATGTGGACTCACCAGTGCCGAATAAAGGGGAATAATCACTTCTCTAGATCTCCTGGCAATGCTCCTCCTAATGCACCCTAATATGCCATAAGCCTTCTTGTCTACAAGGACACACTATTGATTCACATCCAGCTTCTCATCCACTGTAATCCCCAGGTCTTTTTCTGCCAAACTGCTACTTAGCCAGTCGGTCCCCAGCCTGTAACACCACTTAGGATTCTTCTGTCCTTGTTGAATCTCATCAGATTTCTTTTGCCTGAATTCTCCAATTTGTCTAGGTCAATCCAGACCCTGTCCCAGCCCTCCAACAAATCTACCTCTCCCCCTAGCTTACTGTCATCTGCAAACTTGCTGAGGTGCAATCCATCCCCTCATCCAAGTCATTAATAAAGATATTGAACAAAACTGGCCCTAGAACCGACTGTTGGGCAGTCTGCTTGATACCAACTGCCAACTCTGCATAGTGGATTAGTCACACTACCCGTTGAGCCTGACAATATAGCCAGCTTTCTATCCACCTTACAGCCCATTTATCCAATACACATTTCCTTAACTTGCTGGCAAGAATACTGTGGGAAACTGTATCCTTGTTCCTCTCTTCAAAGCAAAACCTCTAAGTTTCCCAAACCTGACAGTCTTCAATTTGGGGGAGGAGCCACTTATTACATTTCCGTGTTCTTCCCAACAGATACTAGAGTCAGCTTTGATGTCACCTGTATTCAGCCATGTTCACAATCTACAGCTTCTAAGGATTTGACCCAGAGTACTTCCAAGATAGTTGATAGTTCTGTTCCTGCTCTGCTTTCTCATATCTTTTCTGTTACTGGAACATCCAGCCCTTCTGAATGGTCAGAATACGCAAGGAATCCCCAAATAACTTTGGATTAGTCTCACAGTGATGCTATTTCCCTTTTATCCTTTCATGCCAGATCATTAAAAGCAGGTAACTGGTTCACAGGTATGTTTCACATACTCTTAATTATCTGATTTCCTTAAGCAGAAGTGCGTGCACTTTCTATGGACTCTAGTCTGCCATTCCTACTCACGCTGCATAGTGCCTTAAAAAGCAGCGGCATTAATTTAAATGAGATTATTCAGGGAGAAAGACACTTCTTATAATGGTGTGACACTGGGGACTTTTATTTACTGCACACTATATTTAAAGAAACAACATGATGGCCACACCGAAAAGAAAATATTTTGTAGCTCATTAGCTTCCACATTTACTTTATTTAAAATGACAGTGGTTAAAGAAAAAATTATCTGCAAGAAGGTAAATGTTCTTTTGAAGAACCTAGTCCAATGGCAGAACTAAAAGGAGGGCAAGGGGACAATTGGCCTTTAGGTGTATGTGTGGCATAGATGCTAACTCCATGGGTGCTCTGGGGCTGGAGCACCCATGGTAAATAAATAGTGGGTGCAAAGCACCCACCAGCCACCAATATTTGGAGAAGCCATCGATCAGTTGTTTGGTGGCTGGGGGATGACAGAGAGCAGCAAGTGGCAGAGCCTCAGGGGAGGGGCTGGAGCAGGGTGGGAAGAGGTGGAGTGAAGGTACAGGAGGAGATACAGAGTGGGGACAGGAAGAGATGGAGAAAGGGCAGAGCAGAGCTTTGGAGCAGAGTGGGGATGGAGCACCCCCAGGGAAAAAAATCTCAGTGGCTGGCCTGCCCAAGCATATTATGCAATTGACAAATTTTCACACAGGGCTAGAGAGGAAGCCAGCCCCTCACTCATCTGGCAGCAGTGGCTCCAGCACCACAGGGCTGGGCCTGGCTTGCTGCTCCAGGCATCGTAGCATGGCATAGAAGGTGATGTGAGGCTGCAACCACGTCTCACTGCCACTCACTGACATTTGGCCCTGCCGTGGGTGTTTGGGAGAAACTTGAATGCACTGTGGCTGTGGGTGACATATCAGTGGCCTGAGTGGAGAGCCACTCTCAGCTCCATGCTGTCATGTGATTGCCACGGGCTTGCTCTGCTGCGTATCATGAAAGAGCCATCACTCCATTTCACTGCAAAATGTGACTTCACCACGAGTCTGATCCAAGCCTCATTAAAGTCAGTGGAAAGGTTAGTACAGTCATCACAGTGCTTTCAATGAGGCTCTTAGTGGTTAACAATGTACACTCTAGCTAGTATAAACCATGGCTGAAAAGAAATGATTTTGAACAAAAGTTGAAACATTACAATCTTTGCTACCAGGCAGTGATCTAGACACTACAATTATATACATATGTTTGCTTGCAGGCAAGATTGGTGACTGGAAAAACCTTTTTAGTGAAGCTCAGGACCAAGAAATGGACAAAAAAATAGAAGAGCGG